ATTTTGGTTCTCTAAGCTCCTTTTGACATTGTAGCCAGAGTGCGAAACAACTTGGTCTGTGATATAATGATGGGAACAAATGGACGCCTTGAACTTCTGACTCCCCACCAACTTTATTTATTTTTTCTTGTTTTAATATTTAATATCTTTGAATCTCAATGGCTTTCAGTAGATTGATCCATTTAAATGCTGAATGACTTGGGAAATAACCTGTCCCATTGCTGCTCTTTAAATAAAGAGATGTAGCTTTATGCAGTGGCAGTATCGTAGCCAATGAGGTTTATCCGAGGCGCGATTATTGCTAATTGAAAACTTTTCCCAATACCCCGCCGTGACGACTTGCAATACAGTCGGCACTGGCAATTTTTGACAGTCTCTACAGAGACTGATTTAAAATAAATAAATAAATAAATAAATAAATAGATGTGTATTTCAGACGTTTTTTAAGACGGGGTTTCACAGTGTTGGTCAGGCTGCTCTTGAACTCCCGACCTCAGGTGATTCGCCCACCTTGGCCTCCAAAGTGCTTGGATTACAGGTATGAGCCACCACGCCTGGCCAATGTATTTCAGAGTTTATCAGGAAGTGGGGAATCTCCCCACCAACTTTAAACATTTAGATTAATATAAACATGTTGCTCATGCCTATAATCCCAGCTCTTTGGGAGGCTGAGGCGGGCAGATCCTCTGAGGTTAGGAGTTTGAGACCAGCCTGACCAATATGGTGAAACCCCGTCTTAAAAAAAAAAAAAAAACAAAACAAAACAAAGAAGATTAATATAAACATGTTTTCAGATAATGGCTGTATCAAGTTTTCAGTTTCAAAAGTTTTTAGTTCCAGGCATATTGTAGTAATACAGATATGCCTTTTAGGGGCTTGTTGAGGTATACCGAGAAAGAAACATAATTTTTTTTTTTTTTTTGAGATGGAGTTTCATTCTTGTTACCCAGGCTGGAGTGCAATGGCACGATCTCGGCTCACCGCAACCTCCGCCTCCTGGGTTCAAGCAATTCTCCTGCCTCAGCCTCCTGAGTAGCTGGGATTACAGGCACACGCCACCATGCCCAGCTAGTTTTTGTATTTTTAGTAGAGACGAGATTTCACCATGTTAACCAGGATGGTCTTGATCTCTTGACCTCGTGATCCACCCGCCTCAGCCTCCCAAAGTGCTGGGATTATAGGCGTGAGCCACTGCACCCGGCCTGAAAGAAACATAATTAACTCTTAATAATATGGAGCAACATTTAATAGCACAAAGAAAAAAAGTCTGTAGCAAAGCAAGTACCTGCTTTTCCATCCTTTCATTACTGCTAAAAATGGTAATTCTCCTTCTAGTCCCTGACTTTTAATTAGAGGAAAAAGAGACAACCTAGCAGCCGTTATAGCTTATACAGACTCTGCATCAATGCAGATTAAACCAGACACAAGAGACCTGAATTCCCAGGTTTTAAATAGCTGTTATACGGTTGCTTTATCCCATTCTTCCTACTGACACATACATCTTTCCCCAGCATCTACTGTAGGAGTTCAGCAGATGCTGAAAATGATAGCAGTTGGCTAACCTGTGATACTGTTATCAGATGAAGACCCCGAGGAAGCCTACAGATTAGAATGGAAGGAAGAATCTGGATCCCAGCGTGGATCAGAGAAGAAGAGCCTTGGTTTTTACATGGCAAGGAACTTTTATTTCCAGTATAAAGGTAGTATTTGCTCACAGAGAAAAATGAAGAAAACATGAAACACTGAAAAACAAATGCATCCAAAGACAACCATTGCTGACATTTTTTTTGTGTTTGCTATACAGCTTAAATACACATAAATTATGAACATGTGGCCAGGCATGGTGGCTCACACCTGTAATCTCAGCACTTTGGAAGGCCGAAGTGGGCACATCACCTGAGGTCAGGAGTTTGAGGCCAGCCTGACCAACACGGTGAAACCCCATCTCTACTAAAAATACAAAAATTAGCCAGGTCTGGTGGTGCATGCCTGTAATCCCAGCTACTCAGGAGTCTGAGGCGGGAGAATTGCTTGAACCTGGGAGGTGGAGGTTGCGGTGACCAGAGATCGTGCCATTGCACTTCAGCCTGGGTGACAGAGCAAGACCTGTCTCAGGAAAAAAAAAATTAGGAACATATAGTATATATAATTTCTTATTGCCAAGGGACCCTTGAATTGTCAGTATATTCTACCTGGATCTCAGTTGTTGGCTTGAAATTTTTCCTAAATATTTGAGTCTGCTCTTTTATTTATTTATTTATTTTGAAATGGATTTTCAGTCTTGTTTCCTGGGCTGGAGTGCAACCTCCACTTTCTGGGTTCAAGCGATTCTCGTGCCTCAGCCTCCTGAGTAGCTGGGATTACAGGCATGCATCACCATGCTTGGCTAATTATTGTTTCTGTTTTTCTGTTTGCTTGTTTGTTTTTTGAGAAGTCTGGCTCTATCACCCAGGCTGGAGTGCAGCGGCGTGATCTCAGCTCACTGCAACCTCCACCTCCTGGGTTCAAGCAATTCTCACTGTATCTCAGCCTCCCGAGTAGCTGGGATTACAGGCAGGCGCCACTACACCCAACTAATTTTTGTGTTTTTAGTAGCAACAGAGTTTTACCATGTTGCCCAGGATGGCCTGGATCTCCTGACCTCGTAATCCACCCGCCTCAGACTACCAAAGTGCTAGGATTACAGGTGTGAACCACTGCACCTGGCCTCTAATTTTTGTATGTTTAGTAGAGACAGGGTTTCACCACCTTGGCCAGGCTGGTCTTGAATTCTTGACCTTAGGCCATCCGCCTGCCTTGGCCTCTCAAAGTGCTGGGATTACAGTCATGTGCCACCTCGCCCAGCAGAGTCTGCTCTCTTAAGGACATATTGATAGATGTGTGCAGTTTCCTCAGCACATCTAATATTGGTAGTTTCTTGGTGGGTGCTGTGAGAGGCATTTTAGACCCTAGGCCATGGGTGCCCCCATCTTCCCTCTCCCATTTTCCTCACTGCTAGGGGGGAACAGGGAGGTCTTTTTCTAGTCCTTTTTTTTTTTAATGTATTTTTAAAATTTTTATTTATGTATTTATTTATTTTAAGATGAGGTTTCACCATGTTGGACAGGCTGGTTTCGAACTCCTGACCTCAAGTGATCCACCTGCCTCGGCCTCTCAAAGGGCTGGGATTATAGGCATGAGCCACTGTGCCCAGCTTGGTCTTTTTCTAGTTCTAACCTGCAAAGTCTTTTAGGTTAACTGATAGTGCCATGGATGCCATGTCAACCTCTGTGACCTGCAGGGACACTCCAGATGAGTTCCAGGAAAATCTAAAGTAACTGGAAGAGCATGAAAAGGGGAAGAAATGATCAACCCCTGCAGCGCCTACTTAGCTTCGAGACATTCTCTACCGTTTCTTATTCCAGTCCCAATTGACAAGGCCACTGGACTTTGTTACTGACCTTGGCCAACCTCCTGACTCCACACCCTACAACTCCTTCCCAGCTTGCAAACTAATGACCCTCTCCCAGCTTGCAAAGAACCGCCCTAAACTGTAACTTTCCAAGGCCCACCCCAAACCTATATAAAACCGGCTCCTCTCCCACTGCCCTTCGCTGACAACCTTTTCTGCAACCAGGTGAATAAACAGCCATGTTGCTCACACAAAGCCTGTTTGGGTTTTCTCTTTATTCAGAGTGCATGTTTTAACATAATCTGCATCTCCAATCCCTGCTATATGGCAGAAACTGTGACCCCATCACTTGACTTGACATGTGTATAGGTAGTGTATTGCAGGCTTCAATTGCCTATGAGTACAAATTAGGTCACAAAAAAGGTTAATGCCTAAATTGGAATTTTTCTAAGCCTTCACCTATTTTATTGCTGGACCTCTGTTTCCTCCCCTGTCTCACCCCATAGAGCATTGTAATTATTTATAGCATTCTCCAAAGGGTTTTCTTTCTTTTCTTTTTTTTTAATGGGATGGGGTTTCACCATGTTGGCCAGGCTGGTCTCGAACTCCTGACCTCAAGTAATCCACCTGCCTTGGCCTCCCAAAGTGCTGGGATTACAGGCATGAGCCACCGTGCCCGGCCCAGGATTTTTATTTTTATTTTTGGGATGGAGTCTCACTCTGTCACCCAGGCTGAAATGCAATGGTGTGGTCTAGGCTCACTGCTACCTCTGCCTCCCAGATTGAAGCGATTCTGTTGCCTCAGCCTTCCAAGTAGCTGAGATTACAGGTGCCTGCCACCATGCCCAGCTAATTTTTTTGTGTTTTTAGTGGAGGCATGGTTTCACTGTGTTGGCCAGGCTGGTCTCGAATTCCTGACCTTGTAATCCATCTGCCTCAGCCTCCCAAAGTGCTGGGATTACTGGTATGAGCCACTGCACCCAGCTCACTGCAACCCTCCTGGGTTCAAGCGATTCTCCTGCCTCAGCCTCCTGAGTAGCTGGGACTACAGGTGCGCACCACCACGCCCAGCTAATTTTGTATTTTTAGTAGAGATGGGGTTTCACAGTGTTTGCCAGGATGGTCTCAATCTCTCGACCTTATAATCCACCCATCTCTGCCTTCCAAAGTGCTAGGATTACAGGCTTGAGCCCCTACACCCAGCAGGATTTTTTTTTTTTTTTTGAGATGGAGCCTCACTCTGTTGACCAGGCAGGATCTAGGCTCACTGCAAATAAAGCAGGAAATTGGCTGCGAAAAAACCTCTAGAACACCGAACTGGGAAGGAAGGGGTGATTTATTCGGCCAGGAGCAAGGTGGCATGGTTGCCTAACAGCCAAGATTCTGGCCAAATAAATCACCCCTTCCTTCCCCGTTTGGTGTTGAAGAGGTTGACAGGAGTTTTGGTTGGCGGACGGCCAGCACAGCCTTTCAGGCAGTTTTGCCTAGACCTTCAGAGCATCCCTGCAGGGGGCTCCTGCCTGCTTGGGTGATGCCCCCGCCTGCTTGGGTGAGCGTTCCTGGGCAGGTATTGGCCCAGTGGAAAGCCTCACCAGAGAACAGCAGGAAAGCCCCTGCAGTGTGGATCCACCCGGTGGCTGAACACCGAGAAGGAACGGTACTTGGAGTGTCCAGACAACAGAAACACGGTAGGATCGATTCTGGGACACTTGCCCACCTCCTTTAGGTGGAAGCATGGCCTGATCACCCACATGTGCCGGATTTGGCACTCTTGTACTTGGCTTGCTCTCTCTGTAATTAACCTTGTTAAGTCTTGTTTTTTTGGTTTCAATTTGGGCAGGGGAGGAGTGTGATTGTGTGAGTGATTGGAGGGGCCCAACTGGACTCATCGGCTGTGAAATGTGGGGTCTGCAGGTCCATGAGACGGGACCCCACGCTCTGAGTGAATCGTGGGGTTGGTCGGGATTAGGCGTGATCCGCAAACCGCTAGAAGGAGGCACCTTCACAATCTAGGCATTGTGAGGGGATTAATGAATGCTCCGATACCAAGAGGCACCTGAAATACTCCCCAAGTGGGAGATGATCCAACCAGCCTGAAGCGAAAGTGATTGACGGTGTGTTGTGCGTGCTGGGCAGGAACTGAGGGTGGAGTAAACTCTCTTAACTCTCTGTGAGGACTGTTTTTTTTTGGTGCAAAACTTGGGTCATACTTATAGCGAGCATAGACCTCTAGGGACTATGCTGAAAATTTTCAAGAAGGGATTTAGTGGGGATTATGGAGTAACTATGACACCAGGGAAGCTGAGGACCTTATGTGAAGTAGACTGGCCAGTATTTGGGGTGGATTGACCCTCAGATGGGAGCCTAGACAGGTCTCTTGTCTCCAAATTATGGCATGAGGTTACATGTGGTGAGCCAGGACACCCTGATCAATTCCTGTATATAGATACGTGGCTGTAGCTCATTCTAAACCACCGCCTCCTCCCCACCCCACTGTGATTGAGAGGACAGGCAGCAACCATACTAATGGCAAAGGGACAGGCAGCTAGGTAAAAACCCCACTCCACCCACCGAGAGACACAGACTCCCAAGGTCCTGGCAGATTCAGTGGCAGAGACACAGACTCCCAAGGGCCTGGCAAATCCGACAGCAGAAGAGTTTTTGCCGGTAATACCTACTCCTCCTCAAGGACTCCTTGCCCCTGGGCCTGAATCCTCAGCACCCCCACCAGAATTGCACACTCCTAAACCACCCAGAGTAGACAAGAGAGAAGGCAGAGAGACTCCTCCCATAGCTGCCCGCTTCCAAGGAGGAACTCCAGCCCCACCTCCAGCAGCTCATCTGCGACCTAAGGCAGGGGTGCAGATGCCTTTAAGAGAGGAGAGGTATACAGGAGTGGATGAGGACAGCCACATGGTGGAAAGGCATGTTTTCACATACCTGCCGTTCACCTCAGCTGATCTTATCAACTGGAAAAATAACAACCTGTCTTATACCGAGAAGCCACAAGCTCTCATTGACCTACTGCAAACTATTATTCAGACTCGTAACCTCACTTGGGCTGATTGCAATCAGCTGCTTATGTATCTTTTTAACACAGACGAACAGCAGAGAGTACTCCAAGCCACTTCTAAATGGCCGGAGGATATTTTTTTGTTGTTTTTTGTTCCCTAAAATAAATAAATAAAAAGCAGAAGTTACAATTAAGCAACAAAGATCAAAAGAAGCAAAGAAGGACATTATATAATGATAAAAGGATCAATGCAACAACAAGAAGAGCTAAAGATCCTAAATATATACGCACCCAATACAGGAATACGCAGACATACAAGACTTATAAAGAGAGTTAGACTCCCACATAATAATAGTGGGAGACTTCAACATTAATATTAGACAGGTCAATGAGACAGAAAATTAATAATGATATCCAGGACTTGAACTCAGATCTGGAACAAGTAAATGTAATTAGCATTTATAGAACTCTCCACTTTAAATACACAAAATATACACTCTTATCAGTATCACATCATATCAACTTAGAAGTTTAAACGAAATGTTGGTTGGCTCCTTGTTTGTTATTCTCTTCCCTCATTTTCTTTTATGTCTCCATTATTAAGGACAATTATAGGCATACCCATATTTAGACTGCATTCTAGTCCGGGCAATAAAGCAATGCCCCCATCCTCTCTCCCTCTTCCTCTTTCTCTTTCTTCCTCTTCTTTATTCTTTTTCTTATTAAAAAAAAAAAGAGATTCAGGTATAAAAATAAATGAAAAAAAAATAGAAATAATAATAACTCTACCATTTAGTGTTGCCAATAGGATTAAAAGGCACGATACTGGAAAATTGCCTAGCATAATGCCTGGCATGTGGGAGGCAGACAACCAGTGTTAGTCTCTTACCTTTCTTCCCCTGCCATAGAAAAAATAGAAAATTGGGGGACTTCACCAGTCACCACCAATTTCATTCAAAACTGCCTGCTTTCCTTGTATTACTGCCTTACACGTGCTGCCACTTTTAGAATTCAAATGACTCTCCATTTAAACATACAATCTTCATTCATGTGTTTGCTCACATATGTGCTCAGACATATTCACACAGAGATATATATTCTGCTTAATGGCAACTCAAGTGGACAACAGTAAACTCAAACTTCAAAAATAATTTTGACAGGATGTTAGCAACACAGGACTACATTCTAAAATAAGTAAATAAATAAATAAATAAATGGCTGGAGGAGCATGTTCTTGCAGATTACCATAACCCCCAAGAGTATGCCAGGGTCCAGTTACCAGGGGCTGACTCCCAGTGGGATCCAAACATCCCAGAGGGCATGCAAAGGTTAATCCAGTACAGAGGCTTTACTGGAAGAACTGAAAAAGGGAGCCCAGAAGGCTACGAACATCAATAAAGTCTCTGAGGTCATTCAAGGGAAAGAGGAAAGCCCGGCACAGTTCTATGAGAGGCTGTGTAAAGCTTATTGCATGTATACTCCTTTTGATCCTGAGAGCCCTGAAAACCAACGTATGGTAAATATGGCATTAGTCAGTCAATGTGCAGAAGGCACTAGGAGAAAATTGCAGAAACAGGCAGGATTTGCAGGCATGAATACATCACAGTTACTGAAAATAGCTAACCAGGTGTTTGTGAACAGAGACGTGGTAAGTCGTAGAGAGAGTCTTAGAGAAAACGAGCATCAGCCTGGACAAAACACTGACTTTTTGTGATAGCTGCCACTATTACAGGAGAGCCCCCAAAAAGGAAGGGAAAGGGGGGCTCCTGGAAAGCTACCCAGTCTAGTCACCCACACCTGCAGCGTGACCAGTGTGCTTACTGTAAGGAAGTGGGACATTGGAAGGACAAGTGCCCCCAGTTAGCAGGAAAACAGGGTGATCTTAAGCACGAGGCTTCAGGTGAAAGTGAAGGAGCTCTGTTCAATCTAATGGAGGGGCTACTAGACTGAAGGGGGCTGGGCTCATTTGCCCCCAAAGAGCCCATGGTCCTGATAACATTCCTGTAACCCCCCCATCAAAGAAAACAACCAATATTGTTGGAGCTACTGGGGTGTAAGAGAAACAGTCTTTCTGTCTGCCTCGAACTTGTTTGGTGGGAGGCAGTGAGGTTATACATCAGTTCTTGTACATGTCGGACTGCCCGCTACCCGTCTTGGGGAGATACTTGCTAGGCAAACTAAGAGCTACTGCTATCGTCGTCACCGATAAGGGGTCCCTTCAGCCAAAACTGCCTCAGGCAGGGATTATCATGGCTCTCACAGTCCCTTGGGAGGGGTGGAGACCCTTTCTAACTAAACCAGGGACCAAAGACTACAGGCCAGTGCAGGACTTGCGTTTGATTAATCAGACTACAGTGACTTTGCCCCCACTTGCACCCAACCTGTACATGCTTTTGGGATTGTCAGCAGAGGATAGTTGGTTCACTTGCTTGGACTTAAAGAATGCTTTCTTTAGCATTGAACTGGCCTCAGAGGGTCAGGAACTGTTTGCATTTCTGTATTCTCAATGGGAGAATCCAGAAACAGGTGTGACCACCCAGTACACCTGAACCTGGCTTCCCCAGGGGTTCAAGAACTCTCCCACCACCTTCGGGAAGGCAGTAGCCCGTGACCTTCAGAAGTTTCTTGCTAAGGACTTAGGCTGCATGCTGCTCCAATATGCTGGTGACCTTTTATTGGGACACCCCATGGCAGGCGGGTGTGCTAAAGGAACAGATGCCTTACTTCGGCACCTGGAGGACTGTGGCAATAAAGTGTCTAAAAAGATAGCCCAGGGCTGGGCGCGGTGGCTCACCCCTATAATCCCAGCACTTTGGGAGGCTGAGGAGGGTGGATCATGAGGTCAAGAGATCAAGACCACCTTGGTCAGTGTGGTGAAACCTTGTCTCTACTAAAAATACAAAAATTAGCTGGGCATGGTGTAAAATTTTGTATTTGTAAAAATACAAAAATTAGATGCAGCCTGTAGTCCCAGCTACTCAGGAGGCTGAGGCAGGAGAATTGCTTGAACCCGGGAGGCGGAGGTTGCAAGTGAGCAGAGATCGCACCATTGCACTCCAGCCTGGGTAACAAGAGCAAAACTCTGTCTGAATAAAAAATAAAATAAAATAAAGTCTAGATTTGTCAACAGCAAGTGTGATATCTGGGTTCACCATCTGGAAGGGAGATCGCAGCCTGGGAGCAGAAAGGAAATAAGTCATTTGCAACCTGCCAGAACCTGAGACTAGAAGGCAGGTGAGAGAGCTCCTGGGAGCCGTGGGTTTCTGTAAATTGCGGATTCCAGACTTCGCAGCACTGGTCAAACCCCTATACAAAGTGACAAAGCAGGGGAGGGGAGGAAGACAAGGAATCCTTTGAATGAGGATCCCAGCAGCGGCAGGCCTATCAGGAAAGGAAAGTGAGACTTTTGTCATCCCCGGCTTTGGGGTTACCCAATTTAACAAAACCTCTCACGCTGCATGTGTCAGAAAGAGGGGGAAAAAGTGGCAGTTGGAGTTCTAACACAAAGAGTGGGACCCTGGCCCAGACCTGTAGCTTATCTCTCCAAGCAGCTGAACGGAGTTTCTAAAGGAGGGCCCCATGTTCAAGGGCCCTGGCAGCAACTGCTCTTCTAACACAAGCTAGCCCTGCAGCAAAATTTAAATATCAAAACACCCCACGCGGTATAGACTCTAA